TATATATATAAATACGACACGATATAATGCCATGTAATAAGAAAGCAACATTTACAAAAGCCAAATGCATACAATACTTGTGCATATCAGCAAATGCATGTGCACAGAATGATATACTATATACTTATACATATGCATTTGTGTATTGCTATAAATATATATAAGTATGTGTGCGTGTGTTTGTGTGTAGTGGTAAAAGTGCGCGGCGCGTGTAAATTGCAAAGAGTAAAATCTTGTAAAGGCAAATTCCTTTCAAATGCAAGCATTTCCTTGGCACCAACACACACCCAACTACTTAAAGTTGCAACAGTGTAGAAAGGACACACATACACACCCACACACATACAGATGCTTAGAGGCAGCAGTGAATGCTGGGTGGCTAAATTTACACAGCGCATTCAAGTTGACTTTTATATGTCATACAACAAACAGCAAGTCCTGTCTGGGCGGCGGGGGCGTCACTCTCTCCCCCCTCCCTCTCTCTCACGTTCGCTATGTTTGTGGCACTGTTTGTGCTCGTCGAGTGGCATGCAAAGCATGCACAAACGTACGACTAGACAACAGTCCGAGACCGGTTATCCAAGCTGCACCAAATGAAAGAATGAAAGAGCACCCAAGCCATATATATAAATATATATGTATAGAGGAGAAAGAGGTAGAGAGAGAGAGAGAGAGAGAGAGAGAAAGAGAGAGAGATAAAGAGTAAGAGAGCAAGCGCCAGCTATTCTCAGACAACTGTGCAGCACAGTGTAAAAGATACTAAACAAACATTCTAGTTTAGATACTTGCAACACCAGACCAGCAGCAAGGGCTAGTGAACTGCCAAGCTATTGAGGCAGCTGTCAGTGGCAGGTGTGTGTGAGTGTGAGTGTGTGGGCGTGTGCGTGTGTCAGACCGTGTGTGTGAATGAGACTTGACCAAACTGCTTGCTTGTAAGATGCTTAGCCATGTGCCGTTGCTTTTGTGGTCAACTTGCAACTACTTGAATAGCATCATCTGACCACAAAATTATCTTACAGTTTCATTGAAAGCCATTGAAAAGCGCTTTAAGATAAGCTGTCTCGCAGCTTGCAAGCGTCGATTGATTCCCTGCGATAGCTCAGCTTCACATTTAGCCACAAAATGTTCTAGAGTAAATTGAATATCTGAGTCTCGAAACTAATGCATTTCGAGAGTATATTCATTAAAACAATTAACTAGGAATTATTTGCTGAGAAATAGTTTTGGTAACTCTTCGAGGCATTTCGCTTTTATAACGTTCAATGCGCAATAGTGCTGTTAAAATTATTGCTAGAACCATCCATAGAAGTAATTTTCATAAAAAANATATATAGATGCAATATATATATATATATAGATTGATATATATATATACCTGGCACAATCTTGCTACAGTTGCTAGTTGCCTTTTTTGAATTCTCTTTCTCCCTCCAATATATTGAAAACTCCACGTGATATTTTTTATGCTCTTCAGTTTTTTGTGCCGTTTCCCGGTTGATTCTTGTTATTTTCTTTATTTGTATAGAAGGATAGATATTTTTGACTGATGCTAGATTGTTCTTCTATTGCTGCTATTATTGTTCACTTGAGTTTCTCTTGTCTTTCTTTCTTTCGCACTGTCTCTTTGTCTTCTGCTTAGCTATATTTGCCCTGTTTATTGTTTACCTGCCTGAGGGAGAAGTTGGGAGGCAAATTGCAAATTGGATTAGTACAAATAAACGCCAGAAAAAATTAATGTTATTAGTTAAAGATGGTTGTGCTGTGACGGCGACCTTGACAATCATTACAAAGAAATACACACACACACGTACACTTACATACATTCATATAAATACACATAAATTGTCATAGCTTGCATTCTTCATTTCTCTTTCACTGTGCACTGACATTTGCGTTTCTCATTGTCCTTTAACTTGCCTACGTGCGCTGCTTTTTATCGCAAGTGTGTGCATGTGTGTGTATGTGCATGTGTTTGCATTGCATTTGTGTTTATTTTGTAGCTTAGGTCAGCTACATTTCACTTAAGCTGGTGCTAGAACCTCTTCTACAAAATGCCAACGCACAAACACAAAACGTATAAAGCATACACACACACACACACACCAGCTGCTGTGTGTGTGTGAGTGCCTGCAAGTGTGTGGTTGTAAAATGCAAACACTTGAGCCATAGAAACCTGACACTGAATGCCAACAGCAGCAGCAGCCACAGCCACAGTTGGCAGGCTCTGGGCATAAAGAGGGCCTCTGTGTTGGTGTGCGTATGTGTGTGAGTTCCTAGGGGCATACAGAGCTAGAGTTTAATGGTCAACATTTTGAGAGATTTTTGAATGATGCTGTCTTTGGTTTCGAGCAGCAGCAATATATCTGGCAAATCAGGCAATGAAAGGCATTTGAGTGAAGGCCTTCAATTGATGGAGTATTATGAGCTCGACAGGCCAAGGCCTTAAAAAAAAAAAAAAAAAAAAAAGATAGAGAGTAGTTGGATAATGTTTAGCATGATTTTTTCATTTATAGCGTATAAAATCTACTTTAAATAATATTGAAAATATATTTTCTTAAAATAGACTACATATGTAGCTATATGCCTTGTAATAATATCTGATAATCGAATATCTAAAATA